CACCATTATGATGGCCTAAGTTCCGCTTGAGCTCAGCGTGCCAAAGGTGAACTCCATGCTAATTACATTGCTAATCTTGAAGCGTATATACATATATATATATATATATATATTATGTATACAAGCGTGTGCGTGGTTGTAATGCTTGTTGTTGTTTGAATATTGCAGGCACTGTCTCTGTTGGATATCTTTGCAGAGCAAAACCCTTGAGCCGTACCCCATACCAGAAACAACAAACAATAATACAAGACAAGGATGAAAAGAAATAGTTGAAAGAATAGAGGAATAGAAATTGAGAGAACAGAAACCAAAGTAAACAGTAAATATGTTATTTCGTTTTTCTAGCCATGGAGGCTGCTGGTGGTTAAATTTTTCCCTGTTTGGCTTATACATAGAATAATTTACAGATCAAACTTTTTCTTGAATGGAGATGGTAGGGTTCTCCATTTTGCACCACCCTTGAACTTGTTTTTGATGTGACGTGGTTATAAATAATCCATAATTTATTATAGCTTCAAAGTTTGAGTTAATAAGGATTGAAGTTTTGTACTTTTTATTGTTCCCGAGAATCAAACTCTTACCGGAGTTAGGAGGAGGAAAGAACCGCTATGCCCTCGCTCTTTGTACAGCATGAAGATTTGTCTGAGGGAGGACTCAGAAAATCCATCACTGTATAATTTTTTTTAGAGAATTATTTGGTGAAAATTGTTACTACTTATTTATTACATAAATTTAAATAGAACAACAGATTACGTGACTATTTGAGTAATAAATAAAATATATTATGATTTATTTAAATACAAATAAAGTATATTAGAGTTAAATTAAATTAGAAACTGAAAATTCTTTCTTCTCTCACTTGGAATTTCTAAATATTTGATGAATTACTAATTGATAGTACATGGGAGATTGAAGTGTGGAGTAGTTGAATGGGTTAGGGCGTTTTGACTAGTAAGTAGCGGAAGCAGACTGTTTCCGACAAACAAGATTTTTAATATTTAACGTGGGAGTTGGATTCAGTCAAAAGTTGATTACTAAACTCTGTAATAATAAATATCCACCAGCAATCTATTAATTATGACCCATTGAACCGGATAAATCGGTACATATATATATATATATATAAAATAAAAAGGAAACGAAAACAGAAAAGGAATGATGATGGGACATTTGAGAGTAAAAACTTTAAAAACTTTTTGCTTGCTTTCCACATTTATGATTGTAAAATTATAATTGATGAGACAAGTGCTGGAAATAGGAATTCATTTTTAGACTTTGGCATTTTACTTAAAAACATAAAGTTATTTATTTTAAATTTGGTGAATACCATTAATTTCTTAAATAGATAATCTAATAAATTAATTCAAAATCTCAAACAGTACGATCCCTCCGTTATCTCATAATAAAATAAAAATAATTTCATAATTCTTGACATGTAAAATTACGTTGTTAAGTGCTTCATTTTATTTTCTTATTGAAGTCAAAGTTAAGCATGTACTTAAATCATAGTTATCCATACATTGATAAGAG